GTGGAAATCTGAAGGGAACTCATATTGGAAATAGGAGAAGAAGTGGGAGTCCACGTTGGACTCAAAAAAGGGGAGAATAGGCTGTCTGCGTGCATGCGGATGGGGTGTGCCTGCTGGTTGCGTACCCCAGGGGCTCGGAAGCTTCTTCTGCGTGCGCCCCTGCGTGTGTGGCAGAATGGGGCGTGTGGGCGCACGTGCGCGCTTCTGTGGCGTGCGCCAGCTGCTGTCCTGCACGCCCCTCATGCTGCTTCATCCGGGCAATGCTCCCGCATGTGCGGGTGATCCTTCCCCCTCATGTGGCTGCCTGCACATGTGCCAAAGGAGGGTCACATGGGTGGCATATACTGTCCATGGATCTTCTTGCTGTATATCTTCCCTTGGGTCTTTTCTTGGGCTTCACATGCGATCTTGTTGCTCAGCCACTCTTGAACCAAAAGATTGAAGGTGTTCTGGAATTTCTTGGCCCGACTTCTTGTAATTGGTTCCAGAGGCAGTTGAATTTAGTTTCCTATTTGCCCAAGTCCAACCCGTACACTGGTGGCCTTTCTCTTCTGAGACGGAACGGGAAATAATGGCAGCTTGCTTGTGGCTTCTCCTTCATCATTCCCTCGGCCATCGCCTTGAGTCCTTGTTGTGTCTGGGCTCACATCAGATTCATCTGCATTGCTAACCTTCATTTCATCCGGTGTTGGGTAATCCTTTTTGTTTTTGGTTTGCAGTTCCCTCTTGTTCTAATTCAATTCAACATAAGCCAGCCATTCATCCCTTTTCCTTCACTTTATCAGCATCCCAATGAACATATCAGAAATCATTTAATAAAACAAATGTACTGCTATAAAAAGTTCAAAATATATCTCCGAGTTCTTTTCACCCAAATTATGCCCATTACACTAATGCCTCCATCTCTAATCTCTACTACCCTTCTGGTTCCCCTATATCAATCTCTCACAGCTCAAATAAATAGGAGATATGGATTGAAAACATTTATCATCATGAGGAGTGAAGATCCCCAATGGCAAGAGTGTGGTATGCAGAGCTCTGGTCATGGGAGCATTTTGTGGTCAGCAATGAGAGGCAGCTCAATAGTAAGAGACAAGTATTCAGCATAGATAATAAGGTGGTGAAATCATCGATCTTCCAATCATTAACATTGCAAGAAAAAGAAAAGGTCCCAAGATGGATTGGAGGGAATGTGCCATTGCACATGATCACAAATTGAGGCTCTCCAGGTCTAGCTAGATTATACAATCTTCGAAATAAAATTTTTAATGGAACATTCCTACAGGAATGGTCATGCCAAAAGCTTACTCTAATAGAAAAACCCGGAAGCATAATAAATCGATTGCCTGACTCCAAGCCTTTCTAGTCCCCTTTTAGAGACTGGTACCATGGGGTTGTCTGGTTATTTCTGCTTGCCGCCCTCTTTCTTCCACCCATATTTAGCAATCGTGACTCCCTTCCATAAATCCTCCTCTAAGGACATGAATTTCTAGAGCCATTTGGTCAAATGAGGTCTATTCATCAACCTCAAAGATTTGATACCAAGCCCAACCTTATCAATCTGCCTTTAAACAGTGTTCGAAGCTACAAGTTGGTATCTTTTGTGCTCCTTGAAGTCATTCCATAGAAACTGGCTATGGTAGCTTCAAGTCTTCTGGTCACCTTAGATGGACTGAGGAGAAAAGACAAGAGATTGATTTAGCAAGGTCAAAAGAGTGCCTTTTTCCAAAGTGAGTTACCTGCCCTTAGTTAAAAAGATGCTCTTTTGTGTAGAAAGCCTTTTATTCATCTTAGATACAAGAGGATCCCAAATATTGCCGCCCTTATATTTGGCTCCAAGGGGCACCACAAGATATTTGATAGGAAGTTAAACTCTTTCCATTCTAAGAGGCTGACCAAATCTCAAGCAGAAGCATTTTCTCCTGATGAGACCATTTCATACTTGCCAAGATTAACCATCAAAACAAAGGAAGCCTCAAAACAGATAAGGATGCATGTAAAGTTCACCATATGATCTTTCTCAAGTTTGCAAAAGAGAAAGTATCATCAGCAAACAGGAGATCAGTAATTCCCTTCTTAGATCACCACTACCCACTTCCAAATGCTAGAGCAAGTTAGCAGTCCTGGCCATCTGGATTATATGGGGGAGGGCCTAGATAACCAACATGAAGTAGAAATGGAAAAAGAGGATATCCTTGTCTTAAAACTCTGGAGATAGAAAGGAAGTCAGAGGAGCTGTTGCTGACCATAATGGCAAAAGGAGCAGAAGAAATACAACTCTTAATCCAATCATCTATCGCCAGAACACATCTTCTTTAGTACGTAGAGTAAAAAAGACCAAGAAAAATGGACATAGGCTTTTCTAGTTCCGAGTTTGAAACACTCTTGGTACCAGATGTATGGATGGAGTCAACAACTTTATTGGCAATATATTGGCAGCCTGCATGATCTATCGACCTTGCACAAAGGCATGTGTACTCTCACCCATCACATGGCCTATAACTTTGTTTAATCTAACAACGAGAACCTTAGCAAGAAACTTGTAGACATTGCCCAGTAGACTAATAGGCCTGTTGACCCAAATATCTTAGGCAACTCAGTAGGGAGGGATGAACAGAATTTTTGAAATCTTAACAATTTTTTAACTAATATAAGTACGAACGAATTGTGTGAGTTTTAAATACTCACAACGAGTTTATAATATGAAAGTAAATGAGGTAAGGATTGTGAACAGTATTTTATAGAAGTTCGGATACTCAATTCGTGCATACATCTTGTACTCAAGTTAACAACTTGAACTTTTTACTATTCTTCAACAGCCTGTTATAAATGCTAGAGTTTGAGATGCCTAGCTTCACCTTACAAGTGTTTTCATAAGCACTAAAGCACTCGAGAGTAGTTTCTCACATCTCTTTTACAATGCGCTTGATAATAGAAGTTGAAATTTTAGATTTTTCTCTCTTGAATGGTGATTATACAAGTTGAAGAGAGATGAAAGCTTTGTGCTTGATTTCTCAAAATAATCTGTCTAAAATAAAGTACAAGGAAGATATTTAAAGATCATATGAAAATATAGTCCTTAGACACAAGAGAGAGCCTAATTTGAGCATTAAATTCTCAGAAAATTCGTGTCTTAAAAAGTTACAGATTCGGGTATGATGTGATGAAATGCATTTTATTATTTCATCACATGTTCTCAATATATTGAAATTTACGGGAAAAGTGTCAAGATGATGAAATCTGAGTGACGTGTTTCATTTCATCCTATTGGCTAGACACCTCTTGGTGTGATAAGGCAGCATGACGCGCTTCATTACATCATATTGTTTGAACACTTCCTGGTGTGATGATGTATTGTGACATACTTTGTAACATTACAATGTCTAGACATCTCTCGATGTGATGATATAGTGTGTGATGCAATTTGTCAGATCAAATCATCTGAACACCTTTCGATGTGACAATATTAGTAGGATGTGCACTTCATCACATCCTATTAGTAGGTTGCGCACTTCATCACATCCCATCATCTAAACGCCTCTCTATGTGATGATATAGTGTATTTTTTCATAAATTTAATTCCAACAAATTTACGTCCAACTTTTATTTTCACATAAAATCATTTTAAAATAAAATTTCACATAAAATACAAAAAACGTATTTTCTAAAAAAGCACTTCAAAGATAAATGACATTGCGTTGCTTTTTTTTTTTTCCATTTGAGCTAATAATTTGAAGTTTCTACTTACAAGAGTAATTGATTTTACATATTAGTCTTTTACTTTTCTTTTGCACTGTTCTTCTTAGAGATCTTCATGTCTCTTTGTTCTTTCTTGAACTTTGCTGCACTTTATATTTTAAGAACTTAATATAATAAATATTAGAAAAATTAATTGTTTTCATTCATCAAAATTAATATATATATCTCAATAAGACAGTTTTTAACATTAAATGCTTCCTTAATCTTTAGAATCAGGATGACAAGGGTAGAGCTGAGTAAGGCCACAAAGTTTACCTTTGTTAAACAAATCTGCAAAAAGAGGCACAATGCTCTCCTTGATAACCTCCATAAGAAAGAGATTAGCAAGATCCACCTTGATAACTTGCTTCCTTTCACTCTTGGCTTCAGATAGGCCCACGTCAGCTTGCTTCCTATCTTGAAGATCATTCAGTTACCAAACCCTTGTCAATGTCTTGGCTAAAACCTCCTTACTCCAATCTTTAACCCAATAATTAATATTAGCTCCTAGCCCCCACATAATTAGCAAATCCATCCACGTTAACCTCATTCCACCAAATGCTAATAAGTTGCAAAAGTCATTCGCATTGATTCACTTGTTCTCTTAGCAAAAAAGGTATGGATCCAAGGAACACCCTGCAACTCCAACTAAATTGGAGAGTGGTCTGGGATAACCCTAGGAAGGATTCTCTGGAGGAGGTTTGGATAATGGAAGGTACATGAGGTTCAGCCAGTTAATTTAATCAATTGAATGCAAAAATTCCTTTAAGGGTTTAATTGAATAATTTGAGAAAGTACAGACGCATTTAGCTTTTGGCCCAAAAATGTTTTCAATATCTAACTAAAAGAAATAAGATAGAGATTTGGTAGGAATTGAACCAGAGGGGTCGGATGTCAATGGTACTTATACTTTCTTACGTTATCTTTGTCCACATATGTGTTTATCTTGAGCTGATTGATTGCTTTTTTTCAACCATATTTTGTGTGTAGAAGTTATCTTCACGTATGTTTATGGACATACAGTGGACGTTACATACATTGATCATCTTAGAATCATTAGCTGGCTTCTACTGTCTATCCACATCCTTTATCAATAGTTGTCTGCATTTCCCTCCCAATTTTACAGTATTAAAATATAATATAAGCAAAAGCATTCAATCAATTTCTGTCAACATCCTCTACATTTAGTTTCCTGCGCATCCGAATCCCGATTGTATGATATGAAGATATAACGTAACTAGTCTCACTAAATTATTTCATAGGTTCCTTGCCTTTCTTGATGAGGACATCAAACTCTAATAAACCCAGAACAGATGATCTTATACGTATTTTAGAAGATGTCCGGCTTGGCTACATACTGCCTCGATTTGGAGGTCTGGATTCGACATGTGAATGGTCCAGTGTTCTCTCCCTTGGTGAGCAACAACGTCTTGCTTTTGCACGTTTATTGCTTGCAAGACCCAAGCTGGCTCTACTAGATGAATCTACCAGTGCTTTAGACAAAGCCAATGAGGTAACTTTTGGATTCTGTAAAAGTGTCGTTCTCGTTTTTTATCATGCAAAGTTCTGTAATATTTAGAGCCAAACAAGAAATTTCTTTTGGTCTAATGGTTTTCTTTAGGTGTTCTATATTTTTCTTGGTCCTGCAGGTTCTAGTTATTTACATCGGCCTTACAAACTTTGGTCATGAGGGCTACTTTCTGCTGATTTTTGTTTTGAAAGTTCTAGTCACTTTATATTGGTCTTAAGTTTTTTGGATAATCAGTTTAATTTGTTATTTAAGATGGTAGTAGAAGCAAAAATCTAGAGTTCAAGTCGTAATTGCTGTTCTAAATATGAATTAAAAGAAATAGAAATATATCACGAGCTTAATGGTTTTTTGAATTCATTAACTTAAATTTTTAAAATAATTAGTTCAATTTATTATCTAAAAATTCTCATGATATATTTATTTAGATCTTAACTGTTAATATGTAGTTTCCTGCTATTTTTCCTGCACAAGGCAAAATCTGCTCTTCTCCAACCGTCCTGATATTTCATCTGCTACACATGCTTCTATCAGTGTCATTTCTCTTTCTGCAGGTCCATTTATACAGGAAAATTGAAGCCGCAGGCATCACATATATCAGCATTGGCCACCGAGAAACCCTATATGATTATCATAACAAGATCCTACGTATATCTACAGCAGAACCTGAAACTACTAAACGTAATTGGTGCCTTGAGGCCATTGAACGCGATATTCATAGTTTACCAAGGCAACATTAGTGGAACTGGTTATATATCCTCTCTTTGCACAGACAGTTCCAAGCTTAGTATCCCAGCCTTTAGAATCGCCAGGAAAGAAAAATCAAACAATAGGCAGGGACTGTCAGCCTATGCGTGAGCATTAGCTAAGGAAAAAAGAAATGCCTTTTATTTTCTAGGATTATGTATTAATACAAAAATCAAACAATATTATTACAATTTATTTTACAGTATATATTTAGTTTAGCTTTTTTAGAAAATAAAAATTTTATTTAAAACGATAAAGATTGACTTGATATAATACATTTTAAATTTTATTAATTTTGATAAAATTTAGAACACTTGGTTTTAATTTTAAGTTAAAATATTTTAGGTGATTATTTTTTTTTTATCATTTTGTAGTTAAATTAGCACTATATTTGGAATAAATTAAATAGTTTGTAAATTTTCTCTATAAATTAGCACTATATTTCAACGAAGTATATTTTTTATCTTGATTAAATGAGCTTGAATGAAGACATAGTTAATGTTAAAATTAAAAAAATATATTTAATTCAATTAAGAAATGATGTAAATTTTGTTAGAAGATAAAAATTGATTTATTATAAAATCATAGAGATATGCACCTCACCAAGAAAAAAAATATAGAGATAAACAATGCATTAATTCATGAGGCCAACGAAAGCTAATGACAATAAATTCAATGAATGATCTGAAACTGCTTTTATTTTATTCAAATAAATTAATCTAAAGAAGTTTTAAACTAAAGTCTTTTTATTACTATAATTTATTTAAGGAGTAACAATATTTGGAAATTTGCATATTTAAATTTTATCAGCACAAAAAGAATGTTAAAAGTAATTCTACGCCACATTTTGTTTTATGCAATGACTTCTTTTTAATTTTATGATCTGTTTACTCTATGGAAGACACACTAAGAACATTTAACATCTTGAAAAAAGGTAAGAACATACATCTCCTGACTAAACGTCAAATATATTTATACAGTAGTGTTACTAAACATGAAGTATAGTATATTTTTTTCTTATTTTGTTCCATGCACACCAAACAAATAACTTTTTTTTCCTTAATCCTTTTTAGCTCTCTTATATCCTATTTCTTATTGTACCACTTTGTTCACCGAACACTAACAAGGCATGTATACAATGCATATAACATATATTGATTATAAATCTATATATATTGCATATAACTACATATAATGTATGAACTATATACATATATTATATGTTGATCAAAGCTATTGATAGAGGATCTTGTGAATAGTTTATTGGGATTTTTCTTTAGTTTTTTATTTCCATTATTTATAGAATATTAATAATTCTAGCACAGAATCGTGTATAACATTATTAAATTGTAATATTCTCAAGCACTGAACCTCAATGTGTATACAATTTTGTATTTAAAATATCATATATAATTATAATATTCTTAAGCACAGAATTTGTGGTTCTTACTGGTTTAGGTAATGATGATTGTATTTAGCTTCTCTATAAACAAGAGATTTTCCATGTTTGGATTATTGACTCTAGAGATGGAAAAGAAAAAAAAAATTATGACCTATTTAAGATCCCTTGAGTCTGTTGTAATCTTGAACCGAATCTAATCTAAACTGTGGCAGGATAGACTTCTCACATAATCAGTACTTGTCGGATTTTGGGTTTGATCGTGATAAATTTATCTAAACTCGACCTGATAATCTATATATAAAAAATATCATATATATTTAAATTTTTGGATCATCCTATTAGAATTATTGGTAGAGTGACTCTTGCACTCTATTTTTCATTACCAAATACTTTATTTGTACTATACTTTTGGAGTATATTATAAACTGTGAACCAAGCTACTAAAAACCTAAACTGTTTCGCACTAATTTACCCAAGTTCTTATTTATTCTAAGATATTCTCATTAGAAGATTATTTGTCGTGGTATTAAAAAAGGAAGGTGTTGTATGACATGAATGATTTCAGTTTAAGCGAGGCAAATACCGTGCATTGGACTAGTGACAAAGAGCAACTAGTTTGGTTATGGCATTGTCAACTAGAATATCCATCCTTTCTTTAAAGCGAGTGCTTCCAAGTTTTTTCTTTAGTTTAAATGAATCCGATTTTAGATGTTAAACTTGATTCTAGCTAAGAGTCGTTATGTTTCCTACCCAATAAGGTTTAAAAAATGTGAGATTTTGTTTATATTAGTTCATTAAGATATTGGTATCCTACTTTCGTTTTAATTTCTCAAAAGTTAAGACGTTTATGAAGTTTATATATGATTGCACGCGTATTAGTTGGCTTTATTTGATGAAAAATGAAAGTGAGGTGCTCGAAATCGTTTATTCGTTTCATAATAAGATCACGACATATTTTTTTTGTTAAACTTCATATTATATTGTTGATGGCAAAGAATACAATAATAATGAGTTACAAGAATATTTTCAAGCACAAGGTCCTTATCATAAATCATTCGTTCTTAAACACCATGAGAAATTGGTGTCGTAGAGCAAAAAAAATTGACATATAGGCAAATGCACCTGGACATTATTGGACATATGAAGTTATTACTACAGATTACATGCTGAATTAAATGTCATCTTAAGTCTTGGACTTTGAATTATGAATACTATCTCTTTCTTATCATGTATCGTTATCTTCTATCTAGATGCTTCTATTATGAATATTTGATTCTGTAGTTCATGTTCACCTTCACAAAAATCAACGAATGAAACTTTATCCATGTGTTGCTTCTTGTGTTTTCTTAAGGTATGTAGTGCATAAGAAACACTCCATGTGCTATAATTCAACTACTTATTGACCTCATTCAACAATGGATGT